TTGGTATATTGCGGATGTGTAATGGAAGAGAATTCCATTGTTTGGGGGCACAGAAAGAAAACAATCGATCTCCCAATCTTTTTGTGCGAGAGTCTTGGGGACAGAAAGAATATGCGCGTCTGGGGAGGAGCGAAGCTGTCGAAGGGGAGAATAGACAGAGAGAAGTTCGGTTAGATAGGAAGGGGAGGAATTCGAGAAAAAAGTTGTGACAGAGAGTTTGTAGTCAATCTGTGCTTGTACTGGGAGCCAATGAAGTGAATGAAGTAGTGGTGTGACGTGATCACATTTGTTTGCCTTTGGAATTTGCCAAGGAGCTGAGTTTTTAACCTTTTGTCTTGGTAATTTTTCTAAGAAGTGTTTTCGTGAACCTACAAAGTAACACGTAGATTAGCAAGAGACCAGTTTTAATGATGGTTTTAAAAGCCTTGGCCTTGAAAATATATTTTAGAGCGCAAAGATAAAGTTATTTTAAAAAGGCTGCACCAAAAGTAAAATTATATTTTCAATTTATTTTACATTCAGGAACGAACAACAAAACTAGAATTGTCTCAAAATGGGAAGAAGTCTGATGCCATTGAGTTCATACAACATTATTCTGAGATTGAGGTTTGACTGATTGATCATGCTACTTTAGCATGCTCACTGCACTCTGGTTTTCTTAAATCTATTTAACTAAACAAAAAAGTTTTTAAATGTTTCTTATTTGATTTTTTGGCAATCCTCCAAAGTCCGGTCCCAAATTATTTTCAGTGATTACTCCTTACTTATAAGTCTTGGGCATCATTCTGTTTTGAAATTCATGTTTGCGGCAGTGGACGATGTTGGATGGAGGTTGTCGGCCGTCGAGATGCACAAACACTCGAGCGCATTATCACTAATCACGTGTTACCAGGGACAGCTACCGTCACGGACGCTTGGCGAAGATATCAAAATGTCGGTCAGCTCAACAACGGGATTTATGCTCACGCTGTCATTGTGCACGCGCGTGAATTTGTTGATCCAAGAGACCAGGACATTCACACATAAACTATTGAAGGACTTTGGATGCAAGCGAAACGTAAACTCCGCTATCAGAGTGGTACTCGTCGCGGTCTGTTTGCCAACTATTGGAGCCTTCCGTGGCGCAACAGTCACCAGCAGAACGTTTTCGGCTGCTATTTGCAAATGCTATGTGCCAATCACAACATTTAGTATTTACTGACTGGTTTGTAAAGTGACAGTTATTTGCAAACGCTATGACTGACATTTCTGCTGTTTTCTAACAATAGACACTGAGCATTGCAATTCTTTTCATACGAAATAATTTGGGACCGGATTTCGGAGGATTGCCGATTTTTTTTATCATTTTCAACCCCCCTCAAAGATTGAGGCAAACTGTTCCATAATTTTGGCGCTAATGCTTCAAAAGAGCGCACTCTGTAAGACATTTTTCTGTGTTCATCCACACTGAGAATTTTCAGTAAGGTCAGTGTTGAAGTTCGCAGGTTCTTTAAGGATACATATTTATAAATCAGTTCTTTAAGATATTCCAGTGCAGAGACTCCTATGCAGCTGTACAGAGTAATACAAGATAATAAGAGGGCACCTAAACTATTTGTCAAAATTGTAACAGTCAGCTCCTTTGGTACATTTGTACTAGGGTATTTAAAGTATGGTCTCCTAAACCAGGCTATCACTAGTAGTATCATTGGCATTTTTCGAGCAATCCTACTCCTACTCACATTTCTCCACTAAGATACGGTAGGCCTACTAAAAACATATACTGTAGTTTTCAACCCAATTTGACCAAAATATAATTCAGTTTTCATTCAATTACAGGGGAAGAAATCTTATGTTTGTGCAGTAATCCCTCTAAGATTTACAGTGAAATGGCAAATAATGTTTTACTCCTCTATTTATTAACACGTTCTCTCTTCAGGAGAAAGGCAATAAACTGTTTAAAGCGGCTGCTACAGGGGAACTAACCACCGTCACAAAACTTAATTCTGCAAACTTTCAAGACCAAGTATGTAAATTTAAAGAAGAGAATAAATGTGAAATCATTCAATATTTTTAATCTTTAATAAGTATTTTAACATCAGCATCAGCAAATTCAAAGGAAATTATATTTAAGTTAATTAATATAAAATTAAGTGTCTGATCTGTTTTATTTCTATTTTGAGGGTAAAGCTTTAATATTTTAATAACATTTTTTAAAATTTTGTATTTGACAATTTGAAACTACTCATCAATAACAGTGATTTTGTTCACAGACTAATTTATCATATCGCAAGAAATTATTTACTTTTATATTAATATTATTCCACAGAATGGGTACACAGCACTCATTAGATCTATTGTTTTTAATCAACTTGAAATTGCCAGATATCTTATAGACTCTAGACCAGCTCTGAAATCCATGCCAGATAATGTAAGTGTAAGTGTGTTAATTTAAAGGATACAAATTACATGTTTTTAGTTGTGTTGTACCTAGTGAATTATTGTTGTTTTATTTTTGTTTTCACTTCATTTAATAAAAAATCACCTTACTTCTTTCTATCTAAAGCTTAAATTTCATGTGTACAGGTACGGTACTTATAACTTATAGTTTGTGACTTCAAATTTAAAATTTATACAAACTTACTTACAAGGTAGACCTTACACTTAGTTCACACCAGCGATTCTCAACCCTTTTCCCAGGGGTCGCCTAAGACCATCGGACAACACATATACTCTACAGTAATGAAGTAGCAATGAAAATAATATGTTGTTTGGGGATCGCCACAACATTAGGCACTGTAATAAAGGGTTGCGACATCAGGAAGGTTGAGAACCACTGGTATACACTCAGATTAGATATAAATATAGTTATATAAATTAACAGTACCGGTATTTATGATTTATCAATAGAAGTTTGAACATTCCCGTGTAACCAGCACTAGTTAGTTGACACCATGCCCTGCTCTAGTGTACCAATGAGAACATGTCAAAATTTTTAATTTTCATGTTCTACCTCATGGTTTTCACATCAGTGTACTTGTTTTAAAAAATGTCACACTTCTAATAGCACAGCAGATACCCACTTCATTACGCTTATGCATTACCTGAGGCACAGGGTCAAGATTTCATTGGACTCTTGTTGGAAAAAAGACCAGAGGAAATTGAAAAGAAGACAGATAAGGTTTGTTAAAGTACCGGTACTTTAAGTTAAACCAGATGTAATGAGGTACTGTGCCGTAAAAATCAAAGGTTGTTTTCATTTTAAAATCATTTACCTGGTACCGGTACAAATTATGTTTTAGTTAAAAGAAGGTGATTCTCAACTGAAGATAAAGCAAGATAATCATCTCACACAGCAAGATCCTTCCACAAGCACAGATCAGGACTGGTAATGATTGATTCCCTTTTTAAAAAGTAGAGAGTTCTAGTTCTGTTCTATGTGCTGGTACCAATAATTAAGGAATTTAAAATAGGTTTATTTGTTTTCCCTATTAGGTACTAAATTTATTATCTGTAACCGTGCACCCCTTAAAAGTTGTAACAAGGATAATCACCCCTGCAGCTCAACATTATGATTATGCCAACGACTGCAGGCTCTGCTACAGTACAGTCCTATATTACCATTACATTCATATACTGGTCAGCCTGCTACAGTACAGTCCTATATTACCATTACAATGTAATTTACATTCATATACCGGTCGGCCTGCTACAGTACAGTAGTCTTTTATTATTACTCTTACCGGTACTAAGAAGTATTGCATTCATATACCAGTTGGCCTGCTAGAATACAGTTCTATATTAATATTACCATTACATTCATATCATATACCGGTACAGTATTATGGTTGCAATGCAATCATTCCAAAGCTGCCTCGGTTGCCAAAGAGTCAAGACCTGTCTTTAACCTTACAAGTATTGCAATAATTGCATATTAATTGCAATACTATTTGGTAGTTTACAAACAGTTAATGGCTGCCCAAACAAAACAATACCCAGTACCGGTACAATTTAGTGATTAGTGATGGTAACAAATTATAAAATTTTCAGGATGGATTATTCCCAGTTGATTACCGGGTTCTAAGAGGAACAACCACAGTCAGACAGATGTTGCATCAGGCACAAACATTGGACTCCTATTGCAAGGTTGGGACCATCCATATATTTCTATTACTATTTCTGAATAAAAAAATAAGTACCCGGGTACTGCCTACGGGTCTTATTAACAATATATATGTATAAACTACCAGCATACCTAGGTACGGTACCCAAATTCAGTTAGTTCCACCTTCCCAATTCTTAGAGTACCAGTACCGCTGTACCTTGAAAATTTTAAACCACCTCAAATATTTTTTTCTCGGAATTGGAATTATTAATATTTTGTTTATAAATAAAAACGTACTATCTTTTTATTGCACAGGAGGGTCCACCACTTGCATCTATACCAGAGGGCCAATGACTGCTTTCCCCGGCATGAATTATAAATATCACTAGAATTTACTTCATTCCCAAGATTCCTCATGGAAATTATATTATAATGAATAATAATGTGAAGATTCCTCATGGAAATTATTGATGTGAAGATGTCTCAAGGAATTTTTATTTATGTTTTCGCCAAAATATGATACCAGTACTCTGTATTGTAATAAAATTAAAATGATCAACTTGTTTACAACTTACTTATATCGGTATTATACCATAGCAATAGGTAGCATTTTAACTTGTTCCTGACCATAAATAAAAAATGAACAGGATAATGTATAAAACGTAATTAAAGTCCAACCATTGCAGTTTTCTTGGAAGTTTGGATCAGCTTTAGAACAAACATTATTATTAGGGTTACCGGTATAAATATTTATAATTTATTGTAGTAATGATTGCAATATAATCATGATTCCGAAATTACGTTAACTATTTTGCAAGGTCAAATGGTATCTCAAATTTTTCATTTGCAAATAGGATTATTTATATAAAACAATTTCAACAATTCTTCAGTCACTAAAAATTAACAAAGAACAATAAATTACAAATGAAGTTTTATTGTCACTGCCAATAAACCAACAAAAGCAGAAGATATTTTTAACGCTTTCGGCGCATAGAAACAGTATTGTTTCTGCGCCAGTTCCTTCTCCTTGATCCACCAATAGTCTTGTTGAAAAGATGACCTTTGCCAAGACCACGGGAAGATTTTCCAGCCGATGTAAGACCACGTAGCTCTCTGTGCTTGTGAACAGGGTTGCAAATCCATTGAATAGCAGGGTCACGGCGAATGGTTTTGTGGAAAGGATCAACCAGAATGACCTCAAAGAATTTGTAAGTTGAATCTTGACCAACCCAATATGAGTTCAAAACACGCAGGCCTCCACACTTTCTGCCAACACGCTCCTGTAGAAACAAATATGTATGATACCGGTATATATTATAATTAAAACTAATGTATTAAGAAATTTGTACAAATTTCCTTATATTTAAAATGTATCAGAGGTTAAGTGTCCTCAATTATTTTTAATCAGAAGACCATCGTGATAAGTCTCATCATGTACATTTGAAATACAAGAAAGTAAATATTCCACCACAAACATTTAATGGGCATAGGCACAAGAGAGATATTGGTACAAAAAATTCAAAACACTGATTTGAGCCCATGTAATGTCATGAATGAAAGGGGACATAATTTTTTACTACTACCGGTATATATATAATATTTGTTGGCCCCAAAACCTGCAAATGCACTACAGAACAGTTCTTACAAAAACAGGGCTTCTGAACCAAGGTTGCATGAAGACGCAGAAAAATTAATTTGCATTTTTTTAATCTGTGGGGGACCTTGGAAATATGTTTAGTCGTCAAAATGAAATCAAGTGCAGCACTGCATAATGGTTGAATTTGAACTAAAATCTTTTCATGCTGCAAGGTGGAAAAAGCTGGGAACATGCCCAGCCTAAATGTTAATTCAACAATATCGGTACTTTACTTCTGGCAGACAATGAATGTAAATCACAAACAATATTCAATGTGTCAGCATTTGTAACATGTTACAGCAAGAGAGAAAGGTTCAAGAATTAGTGTATTTAACTGGCCCCCATTTGCTTATAATTATAAGAAAGGTTTGGAAAATACAGAAAGGGGTCTAAACAACAAAATTATGATTAAATAATTGAACCTACATAAATATAAAGCTTACAGGCTTCTTGTTTTCAAACAAAAAAACAGCACCTGAAACAAGCCGCATCTTTTTCCCAGTGTTCATCTTGAAGTGTCAGCAAGTATGAATTTCTCTTTGAATTCTTTTGCTAGATTATGCTTTGGGTGCGAATAATGCTCAGTTAAAAAATGGGAAAGTTATTTTCATCGTTCAGGTCCAAATGTTGGTACTGTCACCCCAAGTCTAAGGCAGTGTTAGGATTAGAGTGAGACAACTCCTGGCAAAACCCACGCTGTTTACACAATTACTGATATAATAATAGGCCTAAAGTAACTAACTAGAAAGGGACATGGAAAGTTTGTATCAGAGAGATTAAATTGTCTTCAAAACAAATTCAGAAGACCATCGTGATAAACTCATCATTTACACACAGATTAGTTTCAGGACAGGAAAAAATATAAATAAAAGCTTTAACTTTTAACTAGCCTAAATTAAGGCCTACCTCAGCAACGCTTCTTTGGTTACGCTGGAATTTCAGTTGGTTAACACCATGAGTCTTGGGTTTACCATAAGTGCAACCTTTTGGGACAGGTCGCTTACGACCACCACGCTTGATTCGCACACGGTAAATAACATAACCTGCAATTAAAAAGTTTTGGTTAAGCTACAAATAAATATGGTCATGAGCAATGTTCCCTTTAAGCTGCCCGGCTGCGCAGTAATCAGACGCTGTGCAGCAGTTTTGAGTATTGCGCAGCTAATTTACACTTAAGTGTATTAGTGTCTGTAGGCTGTAAAATTTTGCGCACAAAAAAATTGATGCTGTAAAAATTTGCACACAACTTTATGATTTTGCGCACGAACCAACAAACCTTAGAAGGAACATTGGTCATGAGCCTAATAAAAAAATTAGTAATATATAATTGTCAAGTCTTTGCATTAGATGTTGAAGGAAGCCTAAAAATAAGCGTAAGCCTATTTTTTAATGTAACTACGTGACTGATATGTTAGTTGCCTACCTTGCTTTGCACGATAACCAAGACGGCGAGCCTTGTCAGGGCGAGTGGATCTTGATGCTCTGTGTATGGAGGCAAGCTGTCTGTATTGCCAACATCTTACACGGATAAGGAAACGCATAATATCACTCTGCTTTTTCCTGTAAATTTCTTGAATGTACTTGTAGGCACCCATCTTGAATGTTCAATCCAACTGTCCTGTTACAAAAAAGTAGAAGTAAAATTAATAAAAACCTTGAGCGGTTCTTGGTGAGAAAGGCTATAGGTTTACCAAGGATATGTTTAACATTTTCGTTCAATAAAATTAAGGATGTTAATTTGTGTCAACACACACTTTGAAACAATTTAATCCCTACGCCTACAAGTTACGAAAACCTGAGGTTAGCTGGCAAATTTATAAAGATTTATCTTAACTATACAACTGCCGGTTTAATTATTCTCAAACTTAAATGCATCAATATCTATATTGAAATTATTAAATAAACTGCCTTTCTTTCTAAAGATTAAGTACATTAAGCTAAATAATAAATATAACTTTGAAGATTGCGAACGATTTTAGCCGGTGCCATACCTCTATCCTGGTAGTAGATGGCTTGTCCGTAAAAAAGGAAGTATCGAAGCGGAAATGAAACGTATGTAACATTTATTCCCATTCGCAATTTTGCGTGATGTCTTTCGAAGTAAAGTGTAATTATTTTTACTTTGTTACAACTCAATAAATACTTATGTTAACTATTAAAATATATCTTGACATAATATTTGTGTAACATCAAAATTATTTGTGTCTAAATCTTAATTAAAATCAAAACTTGTATTCAAAACAGAACTCTTGTACTTGTAGTTGTAGCTCAACTGAATCAACAAATCTCGAACTCAATCATTTTTCTTCGAGGAATGTCAGCTCTATCAACGTTTTCAAACATATAGAAAGGTATTAATGGTGAGGTCTTATAAATTATTAAAATACAAAATGCCCAATAATAGTACTCATATTTGAAGCTACAGTAAAGATTTCCCTTCGTTAAAAAAAAAAGTATATTTTAAACAATTGGCCTAATTCCATTATCATTTTCAACAATGACAATGCAGTGGAAAGTTTAAACCCACACAGTTACACACAAAATCATTTGAGTTGTAGTTTAGTTGTTTTCCTAGGGGCCGTCCATAAAGTACGTAACGCTATTTTTTACCATTTTAAC